TTATTTTTTATCAGAAATACAATCTCCCAACAGATATTTAAATTGATATACAACGTTGGTCTTTTGAAAACATTAGTTGACGGAAAAGTGTTATTAAGGATAATTAAGTTCGCTGTATTAAATTTAGTATAGTAAAGAATTACTTTTATTTTTACTGAGATCAGTCGGGCATATATTAGTACTTATGGAGTTTTTTTTAAGGTATTTTTCATCTTGTTTGGCTGCGGTATAGTAGGTTATTTTAAGAACTATTATGTTCTTTTTTATTCATGCTAATATTTCTAATAGTTCGTCTAATTAGTTTATCAATAATGTAATTAGGAAAGTCATTATCAATGTGAGTTTGTTTAATTTTTTTAATTCGGTGTAGAAAAACAAACTACGATGCCTTCTTAAATGAATTTAATAACAACAAATTTGAGAAGATTAAAATAAAAATAAATAGGCATAATAGATTATTCAACTAATATATATATATATATATATATATATATATATATATATATATATATATATATATATATATATTGGTCCTGTCGGAGAGGCCTAGAACATGTTGTGCCCCTTGCAGAGGAGTAAGACATAACCCACTTTCCACTTTTTTGCAGATTCAAATTTATATGTTATTCCGATAGACTTCTGTAGTAACGCGAAAGAGGTGGAGGAGGAGGAGGAGGCTACCTAAACAAGAGACAAGTACTTAGGAAGATGTTTCTATTTTTTATAATACTTCAGTTTAAGTAGGAACAAAAAAGTTTTAACAAATAAATAAAACGTTTTTAATTGTAATCAGTCTCTAGTTTTACAAAAATTCTCAGAAATTTCGTGCAAACTGAATACAAGCTTTGGGTTAAGTTTCGAAGAATGAAAACCGGACTGTTTTATATTCCTTGAATAAATTCATGCCATTTTGGAAATTTGGCCGAAGCTGTGATTCTCTCAAGACAGAGCGTATTAGAAGGAGATAAAGGAGGCACATCGTGCTAAGCCCTGGGAGCCTAATGGGGCCCCTCGAGCCAAAGGAGACTGAAAATTTCCTGAGATCTTAGAAAATGTCTGCATATATTAAAGAATACACATTTCGGTAAGGGAGTGATAACTCATGGCATAAAGAGAAGTCGAAAGAGACTACCCTCTGATATTTTTTCTTAAAGACTGCTTTCAGAAAATGCCTCAAGGCATATTTTGCATTATTTCCATTTAAATTCGAAAGATATTTTTTCTGAAAATTTAATATTTTGAAAATTCTCCTTATTTTGTCTTGTTCTTTCATCAGAATTTAGCCGAATTTACAATATTTACAAAATAATATATGTTTATTCGAAATAAAATGATTTTCTATTCTCAGCATCCTTCTGTAGAACCATTGCACAATAGAAGATATTTGCGCATACCGACTACTCAAAATTGGATGAATCATTGTTTACGGCCTTCCAAAGTATTAAAAAGAAACAAATAAAAGAGATCTTAACTGCTATGTAATCTCTACTCTCCTATATAACAGTGAATATTAAACAATTTCGTCAAAGATGAAAAGAAAACTTGAGGCTACAGATATGTGATTCTGCAGAAAGACGCTAAGACTTTCGTGAACAGAAGATATGAACAACAATGGAGTTTTAAGGAAAAATGGATGCGTAAAGAAAACTGGTTTAGAATCAGAATAGACAATAGCAGTTTCTGGAATACATAGTGAGGAAAGTCAGCTTGGAAAGTTTAACACAGGACCCAATGAAGGGTAGAAGAACAGAGGAAGACAACGAGTAAACTACCTGAAAAGCTTGTGTAAATGGATGGTAGTCCAGATAACTGATGGATAGTAAAGGATTAATATAATCATGGCAGTTGTAGAAAGTGCGAATAGAATAATCTGTTAATAATACCCGTTATTCACTTCTGTAAATAGTTCCACCAGCTTTATGGTGGAAGAAAATATAGAAGTGGCATATCTGTTGACAAATGTCCAAAACAAAAAAAGGCGGTCAAAAAGTCCGTATCGCAAATCCAGTTTCACAAATCCCATAATTAAGTAATAATTACACGTCTAACCTCAGAAGTGCAAGAGTTAAACATAAAAAAAGGGTAAGCAAATTCAATTTACAGATCCTAATACAGCAAACTCATTTATGCACACGAACATAAAAAATACAGTTTGTCTTTACTAAAAAACACTTAGTATTTACTAAAAATCCACTTAGAATTTACAAAAATCCACTTAGTATTTACTAAAAATACACTTAGTATTTACTAAGAATACACTTAGAATTTACTAAGAATAGACTTAGTATTTACTAAAAATACACTTAGTATTTACTTAAAAACACTTAGTATTTACTAAAATATACTTGAATTTACTAAAAATACACTTAGTATTTACTAAAAAATACACTTAGTATTTACTAAAAATACACTTAGAATTTACTAAAAATACACTTAGTATTTACTAAAATACACATGAATTTACTAAAATACACTTAGTATTTAATAAAAAATACACTTA